GAATATTTGAGAAGGGAGCTGGGTTCCGTGGATTATAACTACTAAATACCATTCAGTTTGCAGGACTATGCAAGCGTGCAGACAAAACTTAGGGATGCAGCCTTGATTCCCTCACTGGGCCAAAGCCTGCAGGCTTCATTAGTCCTGCCAGACTTTACCTAATTTTGGTGTTATTCCCTCATCATTACATCATGACTGTGGAGACAGGGTCATTCTCTCCTATGTTGTGGTCGTGGAAGGGATTCATGTGGTTTTGGTAGGGGTAGGCAGTGTTTGAACAGATTTCAACTATTTCAAGCACTGTTGCCCATGCTGGGAGTCTCAGGAGAAGATTCAGTCTCAGCAGAGTGGATTTTGCTCTCCCATCAGATGTGATCTATGCACTGTGAATGATGGGAATGTCCTGGTTCACAGCTCCAGGGTAACAAACTGGGAAAGCTGCCCTCCATCCCAGGTGCTGTGCTCCCAGCCTCAGTGTGTCAGTGCATCCTCTTCATTAGCTGGAAATGGTTTCAAGTCTGAGAATGGTTCCCCTGACTTTTCAGAAAAAGAAGTGCAACCAAAGCAACAAAATCTTTGTCCCCTCTGAGATCCTTTTCCCCAGTGTCTTGCCAGCTGCAAGGTGCCTGTGGACAGTGTAAGCAGCTGTGTTCCTTCTCCCTGTGGCTCCCTTTGCAGGGGTTTCACCTGAAAAAAAACACAAACCAGTGGATAGACTTGAATATCTATTCCTTCTGCACCCTTCTTGTGTTTTCCCCTTCATCTCTTTCTTTATCTGGACCTGAGGATTTTGTGATTGGTACTTGTAAACCTTACACTTCTCAGATGCCCTCTTTCTCCTCTCTTTCCCTGTGCTTTTCTGGCTCCTGTCCTCCCACTCCCAGGAAATATCTGAAAGATAATTTGGCATATTTTCTGCCACCTTCACATATCTCCCTGACTTCATGTTTTCTTAGCTGGTAGATAGCTTTTCAACATACATATATATATATGTATATATATATGTAATCCTTTTCACCTAGACTTGTGAGGAATTCCAGTCTCTTCCAGTGGGAGTTTTCAGGAAGGTTTAGGTTAAATGGGCCAATAAGGCAAAGCATGTAGCAGGAGATCTCACCCTCTAAAGACATCTTTTCTCTTTTGTTCTTTATTTTATTCCCCTGGAAAATATATCAGAATATCTAGCTGTCAAGGAATTTAAACAATAACACCTGATCTGAAGATTGGAGCACAGGACCTTTGAAAATAAAGATTGTAATCTCTGTGTGGTGTGTCCAGGGACAGATGGGGCTGGAAGTCAGGGGTGCTGAGCAGCAGAGTGCTGTGGGGCTGCTGCTCTGGCATGGTGGCTCTCATTTCACCTGAACTCTCCTGAAGATTCTCTTGGATTTTCTCTGTCACTTCCATTGTGCTATGGCATATCTATCACAGGACAGGACAGCATTCAAGTCCAGTTTGAATTAATGTAAATGTGTTGGCTGAGCTTTTCTCCTGCTGTGTGTGAGTGGAGGGGGAGACATGAGCAGCCCCTGGGTGCTGGGTCAGCCTCCACCCCCTAGGAACTCTGGTTGCATCCTTCAGGGCTGGGATTCATCCCAGAGGATTTCAGATGTGCTGTTTAAGGTGCCTGTCCCTGCTCCTGAGAGAACTTAGGGAGATGCCTGTTGCGCAAGGCAGCATCAGGTGTCAGGGGTGCTGCAGACCCCTGGGTTATAAGTTATAACCCACCCTAGAGCTGCACTGATCTCTCTTGTAGAAAAGGGGGTCAGGGATCCCTAGAAATAACATGTTTCCTACATCTTAAGACTCAGATTTTGCAGAAGTGGGAAACCTCTGTGAGGCCTTGGCCTCTCCTAGGGCAGCTCAGGTCACAGCAGGGATCAGACATCCTCTGCTGCACCTCCTGGCCTCTGTTCCCACTCCTCAGCACGGGGTGCAGGCTGGTCCTGGGGGTTTGGGCTGGCTCTCAGGGCCCTGGGATGGATGCTGCTGTGTTTGCCAGCACAAATGTCTCCCTGGATGCCTGCTTATCCTCTGGTGCTCAGGCTGTGCTGTGGCACTTGCCTGGGAGGAATAACCTCCGTAATTGCCGTAACCTCTGCAGCCTGCAGGAAAGGTGACTTCCATCTACTTCTAAATTATGACATTATTTTATTAGATCTTTAAACTTTAGTTAAATTTTTTATTTAAAAAAGGGGAGGAAGGTATCATATTTTAATTAGTAGCGGTGCCAAAGGAGTCCTAGATTAATTATTTGAAATCACTCCATCCAGATGGTTTTAATTTTCACAGCAGGGAACCGGCATCTTTTTAAGGTGATATTTTTCAAATTAAAATCAGCTTGGATATTAGTCATACTGGCTGCAGAGTGAGGGGGTGGGGAGCATGAGCCAGTGTGCCCCGTGCTTGTCCCTCTGAGCAGGGGCTGCCATGGGGACCTGCGTCAGAGGGGTGGGAGCTGCTGCCACTCCCGTGGGACCACAGCTCTCATGTGGAGGATTTTGTCGGTGTTAGCTCCTCCTTTGGCTGGCCACAGCCTGTATCTCATGTTCAGTCACTCTCAGCAGCTTTTTACTCTCAGGCTGGAGTGGGCAGGGAATGCCTCGCATGCTCAGAGGGAGCTGTGCTCTCCTGTTCTGGCCTGTGTGGAGCCCTGTCTGACCCCTGTGCTGGGTGGGCCCACACCAGTGTTCATGCCCGGGTGGTTTGGCCACTGCACATCTGTGGGCAGCTCCTTGGTGCTCTGGGTGTTGGCCATGGCTCCTGGACCAGCCTTTGCTGGCTCCACAACCTTTGCCCATGTGCTGGCTGCTGGACTCCCACTCTGAGGCTGACCTCCATCCTCTGGTCATGTGAGGAGAAGCCCTTTCAGAATCACCTCTTTAAAGGCAGACAGTCCCACCTTTGCTGTTCCCTTGTCTGTTAATGCTGCATTGCACCTGAGCAGCCTCCCTGAGCTTCCTGGAGCTGTAAGCACTTACCGGGTTCCAGCCTGCCCTGGAGGAGCTGGCCTGGCCCTGTGCCATCACCCCCTCCTGGCTGGCTCACCTTGATAGCCTCCCTTTGAGGGGTTATTTCTGGCTCAGGGCCCTGCCTCACAGAAGTGGTCACAGGTTGGATACTGCCCTGGCAGGTGAAGGGACAAAGTGGGCAGCACCCAGTTGTTGCTTCAGGCTACTCTCCATCACAGGTACCTAAACCCATGAGGTGTTTCTGAAAAACTTCCATAAATATCCATATCTGTGCATGATTGCAAGTGATATCCTGCTGTAATACAGACATAATCCCACTTGCTGTCAGAAAGCAGTTATAATTTAAATATCCCCTGTGATAACAGGTTTAACAAATAGATCTAAATAAATGTAAGCAGCTAGTAACTGGAAACCCTTGAACTTACAGATGTGACTGAGCTGTGAGGGGAAAATTGTTTAGGGCCCTTGTGAGTTCAAGGTCTGTGATATTTGCACTGCTGCAGAAGCCAAAAGCTGACTTTACAAGTGGGAAAAATATTAATGTGTTTAAATGAAACAAACTCCTATTTCTATCCCCATGGCAAATCCTTACAATGAACATATTTGCTCTTAGAGGGCTTTAAAGTTTGAAATATGAATGCCAAAAAGAATGTGACTTTTTGCAGCACAGATCAAACATTCTCCAGAGTTTGGCAAAAGCTGTATTTCTACGGTGGGGCTCAGCACTCACAGGCATGAGTATTTCCAGAGCAGGAGCGTGGAGCTGCACTTGCTGACACTCACACATTCTTGCATTGTGTTTCAACCATGTCTCCTTTCTCCTCCTCCATGGCGGGGATGGATCTGAACCAAAATGTCCAGTCTGCCTGTTCCTGCCTCTCTGGGGAAATTCCTGGAATCTGAATCTTGAGCATGACTGGAATTTGTGTTTAGATTAGAGATGGAGTAAAAGGCTGGGTTTGGATCTGTCTGGGGTTTTGAGATGATGATGATGATGATGATGATGATGATGATGATGGCAGCACACTGCTTGTCTGGGTGCCAGCCTGGCCCCTTCTGCAGGTACAGCTGTGGCAGAGCAGGGCATTTATGGAGATGCAGCAGGAATCTGTCCTCTACCCTGGCTTCTGCTGCAAACCAGCTCTGGCACCAATACCCTGCAAGACACTGAGATTGGCCACATTTCTCCCAGCTAGAGCTGGACACCTCAGTCTGGTCTGCCAGAAAGAAATTTCTAACCTCCTGGATGCACAACAAGGCATGGAGGACATGTGCAGGGTGGGTGTGCATCAGACAGAACAAGCAGTGCCAGATTTCTCCCTGCTGGCTGTTGTGGTGACCTTCAGGAGGTCACTGTAATGTTTTGCACTGGAGTGTGTGGCTGAACCACTTCTGTGCAGGGTTTGAAGGCTGCTGGCTGTGGGGAAAGGATTTTCTTTCTCGTCATGGTACTCTTTCATCTTCATGAGAATAAAATCCACGTTTTAGCCTCCAAGAACCCTCCTGCAGCATGAAGGAGAGCGTTGTCATTGGAACAGCCTGCCCGGGGCAGTGGTGGCATCACCATCACCAGAGGTGTTTAAAAGCTATGTAGATGTGACACCTGGGGACAGGGTGTGGTGGTGGCCTCAACAGTGCTGGAGGAACAGTTTTGCACTTGATGATCTCAGAGGTTTTTTCCAACATAAGTAATTCTCTGGTTCTATTAACACTGAGCTAATATTGCTGGTGATGGTGGAGTTGGTGTGACAAATGAAGCCCACACGTGTGGTTATATTGTGTGTATTGTTGGTTATTCTGTGGTAAAGCAGCTTTAAATCTGGGGTATCTGTGTGGGAGTGACTGGAGAGGTGTCAGTCCTGCACCGAGCCACGAGCTCGGCCCCTGGTGCTCCCTGGGGCTGTGCCCTGCAGGGCACCTGGGCATGGTGTGGTCCAGCTGGGCACTGGGACAGTGCCCAGGGACTCTGCACCCTGTGCCTTCATGGACCACATGGGTAAATGCTTTCTTTTCTTCTTCCTTTCCAAGCCCAGCTTCTAGTGGAAACAGACACTTTCGGAAGTCAAGTCCGGATCAAAGGGAAGGAGACAGATTTCTACCTTTGCATGAACAGGAAAGGCAAGCTAGTGGGGAAGGTAAGTGTTTCCTATTAATTCATCTGTAATCTGAGTGTTACCTTGAGCAGCTTCCTCAAGGCTGTAATGCTGTGTTTGAGCCCTGTCTGTCAGCCTCAGATGAGGAGCAGGACGGCGAATGTGGGGTTTGCAGGGAAGCTTTTGCTCTCCCAGGGGTCCCCCCACGCTGCAGAGGAGCCCTGCAGCCTCACAGGGCTCTCCAGTGCTGCTGCAGGTGTGCATGGGGTTGTGCCTCATGTGAGGTGTCACCTTAGCATCCCAGTGCCACGGCCACCTCCACAGCACCTTCCTCACCTGACCTTTCATTGGGGGGACATTCAGATATGAATTTCCCCCAGAATTCCTTTTGGGAAGAATTCAGAGTAGAAGGGCAGGCAGAGCACTGTGCTGTGGTTTGTGCTGGGCAGCAGAAAGCTCCTTCCTGCTCTCCAGGAGCCAGGGACTGGCATGGCACAGCCAGGACTGGAATCTGAACATTGGGGGTTGCCTCCCCAATGGAAGCATGTAACAAATTACATGTTATTAACAGTGTGTTCACCCCTTCAGCCCAACTTGTGTGCTGAAGTAGTATTTTTGTAATTCACACAGTCCTTCTTTATTGCTGGAAAGGCTGGAGGCTTGCTAACCAGGAAGAGGTTTGTGCAAAGCTGAAGTGCCACCAAAAAATAAACGTCAAATAGAATATTCCAGCCTTCTAACCTTGGTTGCGCTCACTTTGCACCACCAGGAGCTCAAATCGAGCATCTTTGTGGCTGTGAAAAATGGAAGCAGAGTTTTTTTTTAGTCAAGGCAGTGAAAGCCATGCTCCCAAACAGAAACCAGAGATCAAATGGCTCTGATGAAAAAATGTTTACTGTTGTGGTCCCAGGAGTGACACCTGTGGGACACTGCCTTTCCTGGAGGACCCCTCCCTCTTCCACTTGTGCTTCCTTGGGGATCAGATGCTCTGTGGAGCCTAAGACCAGGTTATTTGCTGCTAGCCAGGGCCCTGTGCCTGACCTGCTTTGGAGCTTCCTGTCGAGGCAAGAGGCATCCAGGGCACTGCTTCAATCAGGGGGAAATGGAAATTAGCACTCTGAGAGGGCTGGGGCAAAGCAGCCAATTGTCTCTGCTTCCTGCACTTGTGTTACCACCCTGCATGGGACCCCATTGTTTGGTCTTGGACAGGGAAATTATTTTAACTGGTTTTAAACCATGTTGGATGCTTTTGAAGGTTGCATTGGACACAAACCTACCTTAGATTTTTCTGTGCCCTAATTTTCCATCCTTTAAATGTGATCACAGCATTTTCCGCAGATCTGAGCATTTTCCTCAGAAGTGTTGTAAGGATAATGTTGTTAATGTTTATGAGGTGCTGATGCCAGTCATGGAGGCCTTAGAAGCACTCAGGTGGGGTAAATTGAGCACAAAATCTTAGAAAAATCCTTTTCCTTCAGCAGACCTTGCCCCAGGTGAGTCAGCAGTGGCACAGGGCAGCCCACAGCCTTTCCTGTTCTGAATGGAGTGGCCAGGAGCATCTTGGCAAAATCAGGATGCTCCTGGGCACTCAGTTTTTCCAAACATACCATATATTTATATGGAGTGTGTATTTAAGGCTCATCCCTTGATTTGGCCCACTGGGCACTGAGGCAGGACACTTGTTTCACTTGTCACCTTTCAGGGAGTGTGAACCTCTACCCACTTCCCCCGTATGCTTTTCATGCTTTTCAGGGTGTTAAGCTGGCAAATGTTTTGTTACAAAGAATAAATAAGTCTGTTCTTGTAAATACTGCTGCCCTCCCAGCCCAGGCTGTGACAATTTCCCAAAGCAGCCGAGCTGGGCTGGAGGGAAGGCGATGCTGGGCAGGAAAATGTTCCAGACGTGTTGCCCATATTAACAGCTCCTCATAAGCAACAAAAGAAAACAATAGCATGTCTTCTTGATACCAAAGAGTGTGGTTTTAATTAGTGTCATGGTTTCAGCTCTCTTTGTGGCAAGAGTTTGAGGGAATGCTTTTTAGCCTGAATGCTCTAAACAGCCAGTAAACCCCAAGGAAAACATGAGATAAAAGTTACGCCTGGGCTTATACAAATATTTAAGTTCAGTCTGGGGGTGGAGGGGAATGAAGCCCATGGAGTGATTGTTCCATGGTTGTCCTGCTATGTTCATTTGGCAGGAGAGGAGCCATGGGACCAATCCGGGCCTGTCCTCTGCTCGTTTCCAATTGCCTTGCACCGCAGAATCCCCAACCAGACCAGCACATGCCATCTGGCTTTGTTCTCCTCCTCACTCAGCAATTTTGGATCCCCCCCAGTTGAAAACCTGCTTTGAATTTAGCCCCTTTTGTGTCCCATAATCACCTACAAAGAGTGCCACGGTCAGGAGCAGGTTGTTGTTCTCAGCTGGAACTCGTGATGAACACAAGAGCTCCAGAGGTGGACAGGGCTTTTCCCCACCTTGGAGCTGGCTGTGCTGCAGGGAAGCAGATTAACCCCCCGGGGGTGAGAAGAGCAGCCTTTGTGTCCTTGTTTCTGATGATTTCCCAGCAGAGCCCTCGGATGGAGCCTGCTCAGGAGCCCCAAACCTTGTGGGTTTTGCCTGTCTCAGGTGCTGCTGTGTGTGTCCACAGGCAGCAGTGACCAAAGGGCTGGGAGCTGCTTTGGGCAGGCTCCTGACTCTGTTAGAACAGCAGCTGCTGCGGTCACTGGTGCTCTGGGATGCTTTGGAAAACGAGACAGGGGATGTGTTGTACAGCAGTCACTTCTCTGTCACAGGTAAGCAGCACCTGGGGAAAACAAACTAGAGTGTGTTTTTTGTGGATTCTTGGTGCTGTTTTGAAGAAGGCCCAAGAAACATTTAAATTTCTTTCTTTTTACTTCTGCCCATCTGTTTCTTAGACCATGGTGTTTTGGAGCTATATAAAAATTGTAGGTCCTGAGTTTTCTGGTCTTCCTGAGGTTTTCTGTGGACCATTGAACTTTATTATAAAATCACAGAATTTTTGGGGTTGGAAGGGACCTTAAAACTCATGCCATTCCACTCCCTGCCATGGCAGGGACACCTTCCAGTGTCCCAGGCTGCTTCAGCCCCAGTGTCCAGCCTGGCCTTGGGCACTGCCAGGGATCCAGGGGCAGCCCCAGCTGCTCTGGGCACCCTGTGCCAGTACCCTCAAAGCAAAGAGTTCCTTCTTTATATCTGGTACAAATTTATCTTCTTTTAGTAAAAGCCATTACTCCCTGTTCTACTGCAACAGGTCCTGCTAAAAGGTTTGTCCCTGTTTTTTTTCACCTTTTTTAAATACTGAAAGGCTGCAATAAGTTCTTCCTAGAGCCCTCTCTTCTCCAGGCTTTATGGTGGAATCACACTATGGTGGAATCAGGAGAGAGATGAAAATATGAAAATTCAGAACAAGAACGCCAGCTGCTTTTCTGAGAAACTTTTTTGTCTTTAAAAAAAATTACTAAACCTGTTTATTTATATCAGGCTTTTTACAAACACAAGGGGAAGAGGACTCAGAGGTGCAGTTCTTCTTCAAAGGAGAGGCACAATGTGACTTGTCCACTTGTGACAAGTCATCTAGAACACAACAACTCTGAATATTGGCAGTAATTCACTGTTAGAGGCAAAGAGGAGCTGATGGTCTCTTTGGAGGTGCTCTTGAGCTTCTAACTGGTTCTCCTGGGGAGTCTTTCTGTGTTTTCTCTCTCTGCCTCAGCTTCTCTTATCTCATGCATTTGCACTGAGATGGTTTGTGTTTGCTGAAGGCTGGCAAGGGTAAGTCACTGAAGTCTCCCAGAGTGAGGAGCAGCCTGGGCTGAGCAGGTGGCTCTTACCTGAGCTGGGCTCCAGCTGCTCTTGCTGAGCCTGTCCTTACACACATCCAGCTCCCTAGAACTGCAGGATGCTGCAGAGATTGCCTTTCCCTGCCCTGTGCCATCCTCTGCCAGGGGAACATTTGCAGTCAGGGGTCTGTGTGAAGCCTGAAGCATCAAAGGATGGACAGAGCCTGCCTTTCTTTTGGGCACAGCCAGGGTGGGTGGCTGCTGCATGGGGAGCAGAGCAGAGCATCTCCTGAGCCCAGCACTGCCTCCAGTGAAGTTCCCTGACACCCCCTGAGGGATGAGGCAGTCTGGTCAATGCTGGTGCTCAGGCTGCAGCAGGTATCTGTGGGGAGGGTTCTTCACACTCCCACCTTCTCTCAAAGATCCTCAGTGATCTGGTGTCCACACACTCCCAAAATCATGGTAGTATTGGGGGCATATAGGGACATTATTTTTGTAAAAGCATTTTAATGGGTTTGATTTTATTCCTCCATTCTCTGAGCTGAATGTGAGCAGGGGCAAAAGCTGTTTGGTGAAGGGTAGGAGGCTGTGGGCAGCTGTGTGGCTGAGGCAGAGCTCCAGACCGGTGACAGATCCTTTGGGTGCCTCCTGGGGATGTGTCCCTGGCACCACGTCTGCAGCACTGGGGCCCTCCCAGCACCGCAGTGTTGAGCTTTGGCCCCAGGCACAGCCCAGCTCCTGAACAAAAGCTGTGCCAGCCAAAGCCTGGCTGTGCCAGGGCCACGCCATTGGCACAGGGGACAGGAGGTGGCACGGCCAGGCTGGCCACCAGTGCCTCTCCCAGCCTGGCCCGCACCACTGTGCTGGTGCCACTCACAGCAGAGACCTGCCTCTCAGACACAGCATTTCTGCTGGTGTGATAACTGCTTTCCAAGCCAATATATTTCTTAATGTTACCAGAAAGTTGCTAATACCATATGGCAAGGCTCTCTGTATTTTTGCAGGACAACAAACAAATTGTTGCTAGATGCCAGACTGCTCTGGCAGAGCTTTATCACTGATGCCTGCCAGCAGTAGCCTTTAGGGGATAGTAATAATTTGGAGTTGTTTACATTACAGCTTTAAAATAGGGGTTTTCTTGAGGCATGTGTGTGTTTAGTCAGGAAAGTTGGCTAAAAAACTCTTGACAGCATCAAAGACTGAAGGTGCCCACTGTGGCCTGTAAATGTGCTCTTGGC